TCCTTTTTCAGTTACCTCAAAAAGACCTAGCTATCCACGGTGTGGATAGCTAGAGAGTTGAAACCACCATCACAACTTTGTCAGTACTCAGTCTCTCTCGGATCACTGTCCACCTTCCACATCCTTACCTTCGAATCATGTTTCTTAGTCAACTATCCTACATCATCTTTAATTTCTTCCAGATGTGCAGCTCTCGACAATGATCTGAGTTCACAGAATAGCAGCACTGGTCTCCTGAAATCGCACTCCAAATTACACATTGAAGCATTCAATATTCTCACCTTCCGTCAAGTCAGTCAACAAGTGTTACCACCTAAAACTCTAGTAACTATAGCCATGGACGTGTGTTGTGTTTGTGAGACAAGCATAGAGGAGTCAAGTGTAGTTATCCACTAAACCTCACCCGGCCAATATGGCGAATCCGCAAAATTCACCCCTCGAATTTCTGAAGATGCACTGGCCAGTTCTCGTGGTCTTTCAGGTGTAGATATAGCATTGAGCACTAAGGCAGAAAGTCCACTACTCAACTGGAACCCATTTGACAGTAACCTAAGCGTCATTCAACTGAATGGCCTAGTGAAGACTAAAGAGAATAGGGAAGAGCGTTATTGTCTCTTTGTAATCTCTGCTTATGCCCCAAATGACTACAGTTTGGATGAAGTGAAGGATAAGTCCTACCGAAAACTGTCTAGCCTCCTTCTGAAACCCGAGCGCTCAGACATAGAAGTCATTGCAGGTGATTTCAATGCACAAATGGATAGGTTTAGTCAGATAGAAAGGCACTTAGGTGGTACTTTCGGAATCCCAACCGAACTAACAGATAACAGTGATCGTGTACTACAAGTACGCTCAGATAAACATTTATTTCTAGACAGCATAAACCTCGGACATAGGGAAATTGTGTAGCTTGGCGTCCACCGAGCTCAACTCAACGGCGCATACAGATAGACCAAATTGCTATCAGTCATTGCTGGAGAGGGTAGACAGAAGACTGGCACTACCTCTACAGCAAGTGTTTGGACAGAGACCACGCGCTGGTTCAAGTGCATGTATATATATGTCTAAACTCATGTAGGAAAACCTTGGCAATAAGACCAGTACGGGTGCAGCTCGACAATCATAGCACTAAGGCCACTTTCAGGGAGGAACTAGCTCGACAGTTATTGGAACAGAACAATATCTACCCATCCAGAAGTTTGGTGCCATCTCCAGTCTGCTGTAAAAATGGCGTTGAAGATCGTAGCCGACTCCCAGAGAGTGGCTTAAAACAACCAGTGGATATCAGCAGCCTCTTCTGAATTAATGGATGCACGAAAACACATCCCTGAAGGCTCCCAACACAACCAGGAGCGGATGAAATTCAAACATCGACTGACAGAAAGTCTACACAATGATCGCCAACAGTGGAAAGCGGAAGCTAATGAAACGGAAAAGGTAAGGGTGATAGATAACTCTAGACAGTTACTTAGATTTACTAAGGAAAGTGAGGTGAAAAGGTTAGTGATTAGTGGGACAGTAGAGGAGGAGGATAGATCTATGATTCACTCGTAGAGAAGAACATTGGAACGAAGGATGGAACATTTCGATAAGTAGTTCAGCTGGCCTCCAGATAACATTTCGTTGCCTGTTATCCAGTTGGATCCTGAATGGAACATCTAGACAGAACCCCTAACACTTACAGAAGTCTAGAAAGCTGTAGATAACCTGAAATGAGACAGAGCAACAGGGCAAGACTGACTAGTTCCAGAGGTATCTTAGGATGGTGATCAAGGATTTTTAGCCAAGCTAACTGTTGTGTAGGAGTCAGATACAACCCTCTCTGATTGGTCCCAACCACTGGTTGTCCCAGTCTTCAAGAAATGTGAGGAGTCCCCTTATGACAAACACAGAGGAATCAACCTGACGAACATAATATTTAAGATCCTAGGTTCTATAATTATCAGACATCTGACTGAAGGCTAAAAACATCAAACGCGAGGAAACCATGAAGGCTTCAGACCTGGCCGTAGGTGTACCAACTAGATATGCACACTCTGCCAGGTTCTGGAACACAAGCATGCCTACCAATGCCCGACAATAGATGTGTTTCTCGACCTGCAGGCGCCATTCGACTGCGTCGACCGAGAAGTCTTATGACAATGTCTCTCAATGAAAGGTGCACCGAGTAAGTACGTAACCTTATTGAAGGCTCTTTGGGCGTGTTCGGGCCTATTGTGAGATGTCAGGTGAGCTGTGTATATCAAATGGCGTTAATCAAGGATGCCCACTTTCTCTATTCTTATTCAGTTTTATCACAGAAGTTTTCATCGACGTCTCCCTCTCGTCATCTGACTGCACAGGGATTGACCTAATCACAGGAGAATTTTTGGTGGACCTATAATATGCAGACGACATCGGGTGCAGACACTGACAAGAAAGAGTCTTTTGGACAACTAGAGTGATAAATTGAGAATGTTTGGGATTCGTTTCTCGCCACCCAAATGCAAATTGTTGCTCCAGGACTGATCTTCAGAGGTTCTCCAGCTAACAATAGGGAGTGAAGTGGTTGAGTGTGCTGAACACTTCACTTGCCTGGGAAGTCGGATCAGACCTGGTGGGACAGTGGCCGATGAAATCACTACACGGATACAAAAAGCTCAATTGGCTTTCGTGAGCTTACGCCACCTGTGGTATCGCTGCGATATCCGATTGTCTATTAGGGGTCGAGTGTACTATGCTACGGTCCACTCTGTTTCACCGTATGACTGTGAAACATGGCCATCAAAGGCAGAAAACATGAGAAGGCTTCAGGTCTTTGACCGCCGTCGCCTTTATGATATAGGCCATATATCTTTGTGTCACCACGTGAGTAACGCAGAAGTTAGGTATAGAGTTTTAGGAGTGAGAGGAAAGTCAGTTGATAAGGTTGTGAACCGTTATCGATTGAGACGGCTGGGACTTGTGTTGCACATGCCTAGCCACCATCCACCTTGTCGCACAATGTTGGCCGAAGTAGGTTCAGGCCGATAAAAGGCTCGGTTTGATCAGACTAAAACACGGCATCAATGCATGAAGTCCTTGACTGTTCGCCCGAGCCATGTACGGCGAAGCAGACTAGACGGTTGGGGTCCGCAGGACAAGAGGAACCAGTGGTCGGGGACTTTATATGATATATATATATATATATATATATATATATATATATATATATATATATATATATATATATATATATATATCAACCTGATAACCCTTATCTTAACCGCTACACCTAATCTAATCATTTTCGCATTCTTCCTTCGTCTCTTTTACTACTTTCGACTTCTTTCGACCGAGTTTTCTCGCTTTCCTCATCTTCCATTTTAGTACCTTGTTACTTGATGTGCTGATATGAGGTGTGGCAACTTGGACCATTACGCAGTAATGCCTCATCCTATGTTGGTGTTGATGATCACTTATCACGACTGTTAAACCTAGGACTTTCATTATTCAAAATGTTCGTGAATAACTCTTTCAGCCTCACTTAGAGAAAAAAAGGGGACTTTCAGAATTTGCGTAATTAATTGAGTACATGGTTCTAGGAACTTGTTGCCAATTTACGTAATATTCAATGTCAGCATCATGCACTGGTTTCAAACCCGTTATTCCCCTAAAAAAAATCTATGAAACTCCCGATTTCAGGTGAAAACAGTAAGACTTTTCATTAGTGCTTTCCATCTTCTTGTTTTGTTAAGGATATGCATAATCAAACCACTAAGTGAATGGAGTATGAGAGCATGTTTTAAAAACTACTAACGAAGAAATCTGAATTAGACACTCTTGATCTATGATAAAAGTTAATAGAAATAAAGAACAAGAGACTGTCATGGCAAATCGGTAGTAAACCATCACAGTTTTAGTTTGTTAGACTAGAATTCTAAAATGAATACTCAACTAATGAGCAACAGCGAATAAATAAATAAGCATTGACATCTGGACAAGACTTAACAACCGCTCATCTACATCACCTAAGATACGATCAGTACATTCTAAAGTAGACGTCATTAACGTGTCTAGGAACTGGTCTGAACTCTCTGACCGCCCAACCTTCGATCACACTTCATTCCAGTAGTGTTTGCTCTGTAATTCTTTTGATCACCTTTTTTACACCACACCAGCTTCTCACTTGCGTATTTTGTAAACAGCATACATAGATGAAAAAAGAAAAAGAATCGTTCGCCAATGAAATTTATTGATCCACTTCAATTACATTAGAACAGTGAATGGAAGATTTAAATTCACCATATTCTCTCTGTAATTCCTTACTGTTAAAACTAGGAACGAGCACAGTGTTTCTGTCGTAAACAACTTCAAGTATGAAGCTTTGTGCAATACAGTTCTCCACAGAACCAACTCATAAGTTTTTAAAGTATTCAAAAGACAAACATGACAGTAAAGAAATATCAGTCATGGATATCACGACAAGCTGTTTTAGTAATTAGAAGGTAATGGTAATTTGATTTTTCATAAAAGGAATTTTGCTAATGATCTCATCTAATGTGATGGTGAGCACCTGTGTCTCGAAGCGCTATAAAACAACCTTCTACTCAATAGCTAATAACATAGTCAATCTAGGTGAAAGAGAACAACAAGTAGTTTATTAAAGAGATTTTTTCAAGGGAATTCATTCTCTAAGCTGTTCAGTAGCAGATTCAAACACTTTTTGTGACTGTCTGTGCTGCGTTTGATAAGCTTAAAAGGCGCATAAAACTGGTGTTTGTACAACTTTGGGAATGAAATCACCTAAAAGTTTCTTCAACAGAATACTTGTTCTCTTTCTTGCATATCCTCATTGATATTTTCAATACACTGAAGAGTAGCAAAAAACTCAATGAGTTTCTGCATTATTCTTTCGATCTTATCGCAGTAAATTTAAAGATGTAATCTTGGTAAAAACAAGTCTATTCACTACAAACCATTACATAAAATTATATCAGAGAAGGAGAAAACATGAAAAAAGAAACCATCAGGTATTTACTCACTTTACCAAGTATGCGAACAACTAACGAGGTTTCATCAACTGAAAAGAAAAAGAATACACAAAAATAATTAGAGATTATTTAGTTCATATAAAATGGAAGATAATTTCATAACACACGTGTATCACTTATCGAACAAACAATCTACCGACACACAAAGCATAGCACTGGTACACCTAAACGTTTAACATTACCACCTCTATTCTCTCAATTAAAAATATTATTTATTCTAAAAACAAAGATTATCTCAGTGAACGCTTGATGGTATCCTAAACTCAATGAATTTCACAGCGTTTACTTACTGATGAGATGAGATGAGACAGTCACATACACCTAACTTTTTGCTGACGAAATTTCAGCTAGGATACAAAAGATCTGTTTGGCACTTGCCAACCTGCGTCAATTCTGTCGCCAACTGGCGAGATATCTGACTATCTATCAAAGGACGAGTATACTGTACTGCAGTTCGTCCTATCCTGTTATATGGCTGTTGAAAGTAGGAGACATGAAAGGATTACAGAGTTTCGGTCACAGTTTTCTTCGTAGATTTGTTCGCGTTTAATGAAATTACCGTGTGAGCAATGCTGAAATCAGGTGAAGTGTACTGCACAAGAAAGGCAAGTCGACTGATGAGGCTATGAACCTTTACCAGCTGAGGTGGCTTGGATTTGTGTTTAGCGTGCAGATTTACTTTCTACCTCGAGGTGCCATACTGGGGGAAGTTAAATTAGGTTAGAAGAGGGTTCAGGATGGCCAAAACAAGACGTGGCACCAGTCCATGAAGTCTCTGAATCTTGGTCTGAGCTATGCGGGGAGAAGTAGATTACCTGGCTGGTTGGGGTCCCCGAGATGGAAGGAATCAGTGGTTGAGGACTCTTAGGAACATAGCTTGAAATCAGTCAAAACAGGGTAGATGTAATCACTCCATAGCATATTCTAAAGCTTGAATATTTGCACCAACCGCTATCTTCAAATTGTCTATTCTCTCACATAACTTTGTCTGCTTCGATATCACTCTTTCTCGATCCACCTGTTATTTGTATACTACTGTAATTTGTAGCAATTTGAACCGATGCACTAGTTTGCGAGGTTCTACGTTGATTTTGTTAGCAATCACACCTAACTCATGAAGGTGAACAATGTTACCTGGTCATTACCGTTGAACTAGAATAACGAAACATAAAATAATGATTACATAATGCAGCCAATGGATCATAGTTCGGTACTTTATTTCCAGTATATTCCATGAATGCATATTTGATTCACAAACTAGGGAAATTATTTTCATCTTTGAGAACAATTGAATAAAGTAAATATCCCTACCAATTACCATTATCAAATGGACCAAGTCTGTTTTTATCTCTGATAGAGATGCCTTAATATTATGTGAAGATAAACATTCGAAGTCATGTACTGAGAGTGATAGACACAAACACTTAAATAAAACTGCAGGATATCTTGAAACAAACATTTGCACATAAGTCAATCAATCCAGTGGCCCTATCACAAAAAAATAAAACACGAAAGAAAAATAAAACCAACCAAACTCCTCATAAATAACGTAGTAATCGAATAAATACCAACAGACCATAGTGAAGTAGACAAATATTGAGGCTACAGGCAGAAGTCACAGGTGCCTTATTAAAGAGTCTTCAAACAAAACGAAACTATTAATAATATCTATTTTCTAATGGCTCATCAAAAAACCTTCACAATGATGCGGCCACTAGAAACATTAAAGTTATAACATTTTATTGCATTAATTTTTCGAAAGTCCTAACAGAACTCTCTAGTATGTACGGGCAACAGGTGAAGAAAGTCATGCCACACTAGGAAATGACTAAAGTTTGAGAATACCAACCAGTAGATTTCAACTTCATAGTTCAGCTATTACGTTCTCTGAGATGGTGGAGATTTTCCGTTTAAAAATAATAGTATAACATAGAAACCCTATACAGCTTTGTGTAATAGGCAATGAGCTACACTTAGCACATCAGGTTATAGACACTAACTCACTTTCCAAATCTTGGTAGGTAGGAGGGTTCGGACTCATACTAAAGTGATTGAAGGTTAACTACCCGTGTTACTGTGTAAAAGCTCTAAAGTTTGCAGCTAATTGAGAAGTATCATGTTCTCCAAGGTGGAAGGTTTAATCATGAGGTCTTTATTACCTGTCTGGACAGCATCACTTACTAAACTTGCACCCCAGTGGGTTTTGGTGATTCCATTGAAGCATGAGAACCACCTCTTGTCTAACAGGTATTAGTTATTATCGTTTTTTGATACTTGTAACTTCCCGCTCTTATACTGGATTGAATTCATCAACCTCTATTGGCATATGGATTCCAATGGTAGTCGTCACCTAGTAAATTGCAACAATGAATATTCTGGCAATAATGAGGCATCCGCATAGGAGCCCCTACGCCAACAAAGGTCGAACGATTTGATGCAGTACGACAGTTGCAAGTATCAATAGATCATTATTGTAAAATATTGAACAACGAAGTGGTAAGAAAATCCACTATAAACTAATATAACACATCAATCACGTACAGATCTGTATACTAGGCTATAAGCCGTATCTATTGCTTGCGGGCTTAATAATACTTTCTGATTATTCAAACCTCTGTAGATGAAGTAAGTTTAAAACCGGTGATTTCCGAAAACTCACAGCTCCCCAGGAGGTGTGATGATCAGGTATGGAACTCTGATGAGCTTTTACCGCCGTATCAAATAAAACAATAATCTAAGTAACAAAAAGGAACTCGAGTAACTAAAATAATCTGGTGCCACTAAATTGCAAGTCAATATTGATAGAGAAGGTTTCATCTTTTTCAAATTCGTAATAAATAGTAGACATGATGGATTTTCAGCTTGATTTTGTATGACGCCTTAATAAGTAAACGCAAACACATATTACGGAAAGAAACAATACTACACTATTTAAACTTATTCCAAAATTTAACAAGTAAAAAATTGAAACTGAATTCAAATTATGGGCAAACTACTACTAACCAGTAATCGTTTGTTTGTTTAGTAGTAATTTGATTACAAATACACTCTGTATCACTATGTTATGTTAACAAAACACATTTCATTCTATTGCTCTGCATTTCTTATTCTATTGATTTAAGGTAGGAATTTTTAGTGAAGATTAACTTTCATTCTGCATCTGATTATTATATTAATATATGGAATAAAGATGAGTTTTAAATTCTAACAGGAAATCTTACTTGGCCTAGGTTCAGTGAAGTATAACGTTATTTCTTTTTCTGATATTGGAAACATCTTGTACAGTAACTGGTCACTAGAGAATGATATTCTTTCTAATTCCCAGTACTGATCAGGTTTTACCCATTAAATGTGCGATATTATTATTACAATTGAGTTAAGTGGCTGGATATCGTGATGAATTGTGTAGTTTTATCGAGTGATTGGAGGTAAACCAGTAGTAAACTTTGGATGTGAAGATAGTATCACTCACAATGATCAATGGACTTGAACTTTTCGACATGTAACCTCAACTACTTAACATCAAGTTGATGTACAAATATACTCGCAAAAAATACGCAGAATTTGATAATATTATACTGTTTCAAGTTCTTACATGTCAAAAAATAAACATTAAAAAAAAGTGAAGCAGTAGAGTGAAATAGAGTCGGGGTAGAATAGTCTAGAAGGAAGAACAAACACATTTACATACTTCCCATGGATTTTGAGCTACAAAACCTTAAGTCTCTACCTATACACTTAGCATTCTTGAATTATCAACCGGAGAACCGAAAATTTCCAACACAAATTCACACAAAATGGTATCGTCTTCCCTTCTCATTACATTGAAACTAAAAATGTTTATGTGTACCAGATCTTTTTGCCTCCTTATAGAGGTTTGAATAGCCAGATAGTGTTACTGGCCTTGATATAATCTGTGTAATTTATGGCCTACTAGAAGAAACTGTGCATAGTTGTTGATTCGTATAATCATATAATACGCATTAAAAGCATACCATTTGCTACAAATTTCAAATAAATCTAATATTATTTTATCCGCAAGCTTATCACTTTTAACTAAGTAAAGCGGAATACATCTGTATCTGAACTCAACATCCTGATGATTTCAAATGACAATATATCGAATAGACAAGTATGCTGCAAAGCAAAAAAACTATCTATCAGGTATGAGAATTCACCCTAATTATATCGTTGACTAACTCTGAACAAAAAAAGATGTTATTTTAAAAAGTTGACGATGAACGGCTCAACTGTACTGTTTGTCTTTTTGTTTTGTTTGAACAAGCAACAAATCATAAATATGTTATCTGTAAGTAGTTGTATATGCGAACGAAAAGGGAAGAAAATGAAAGGCTAAATATACAAATAGAAAAAATGAACGCATGACCTTTATAAACTCTCCTACTTTAGGTCAAATGTTTTTCTTATTTCTGCATGCTAAACTGTGTTTGTGATTTCTCTCCCTCTCTCTCTCTCTCTCTCTCTCTCTCTCTCTTATATATATATATATATATATATATATATATATATATATGCATATATATAATCCTCATTAAAATATTCTTAAAACAAGCACATGAAACTTTTAAAATAAGATTGTGAACAAATTACAAGTCGTCAACACGATACACATAGAAGTACAGACGGTGGTAAAGGTCAATGCAAAATTGATAAGGGTATCTAATTAAAGTGATACTATTCACACAGCTTCAGCTTAACAACAACCACATAGAGGTTAGTGTGTGAGGTAATGAGTCATACATATCCCACGAGAGTTATCTAAATCTCCGTAGATGGGATGGGGTTCGAACTCATGGTCCTGTAGGTGAAAATCACGTGTCTAGATGAACAATACATAGTTCCGTAGGAGATTAGTGAACAACACCAGAAGTATAAGTTTTAGCCAAGATGTTCTCAAACCAAAGGGAAACGGAGAAAACAATTCTTCATTAAATGAAAACGGAATCGCGGTAAAAAGAGAATTTTTGTGAATAGTTGAAATTCTAGATCATACTTAATTTTAAATAAAATAAATTCAAGTTGCTGTTGTTGTTGTTATTTACTTATTTGTACGCTCTCAATGTATATGTATTTATTGACCATAAAAAAAAATCACGTGAACTAGAAGAGATAGAGCATAAAACTTATGTATACGCTCATAGACACACTGTATACAGACACATCATATAAACATTTTGATTGGTATTATTTAAATTTAGAAACAATGACACAACACTATATGCAGACCAGTGCACAAAGTCTTTAATTAATTTCAAGGTAGGATTCACTGTAAACTGACATCAGTTGGAGAATCATTGAGAACCTGGGAGGACTGAACAGATGCTTCGTCCCAGTATGGAACCCCTCAAGAGAACACACCCACAACCCTACCAAGGATACAACTCAGAACCTCCAGGTTTCATGGTGAATGAGCTAACTACGCAGCCACTGGATCAATGTCCAATGGTCCACATTTTCTTACTTCTGTCGATTCGCGACATAGGACGTCTATCCACCAACGCCTTCACTTCCGACTGACTGACCACGCAGGTCACGGCTTCTCATTAGAATTTCGTTATATCCATCTGGAAGCATGTCACTAATGACCACTATATAGTAGTGTAGCTCGCGGTTTATGAGGATTTTATTTATTTCAAGGTAGTATTCTTCATGGACTGACGAGTTGGAGAACCACTGAGAACCTGGGACTGCTGAAGAATCCCAGTCTAGAGCGAAACAACCGTCCAGTGCTCCCAGATTTTTATTCGTCGTCCAACTGATGTCAGTGTCTATGATGAATACTACCTTGAAATAAATAGAATCCCCACAAACTTCAAAGTATATTTTTTAATTTATGTAGAAATTTAAGATAAAATTCAACTTAACTCGAAGTATGTACGAACATGAAAATTTGTAGAACATTTCCCTGGTCCTCTTGTGATAAATAACGTTTGTACGAACCACCTGGTTAAATACACACACTTTGGTCTTTTATTGAAGTGAATTCTAAGCTATACAGCTGTTGACCTTTGGAGATGATTAGTTCGCAGATAGCTGTCATGATGTGACATCATTTGCAGACAACCTACTAGGGATTGATGGATACCAGATCATTTTGCCCTAACGTGAGATTAATTAGGACTGAATAAAAGCAGTAAAAAAAACCCCTAAAGACTGGATGCCTCACAGAGATTCATATTCATATCATTCAGTACTGCATTTGAAAAGACTTCTGATCTATTCATGTAACATACCAACTCTCGTAAGTCTATGACAGACAAACAAACCGGTTTTCCAACTGATATTATAGTTACTCCTCCTTCGGTACATTTTGGTTAGAAATATAGTTCGTTACCAACAACCAACTGATTCATATATCCAAACCTGTTCTACAGGAGGTCAGTTGGCACTGGCATCGCTGTAATAAAGTTTTTCATTGCAATACTGAGAGATACAGACTAATGTCTCTGAAGATGCATCATCTTCCTTAAATTTTCAGGTATACGATACAGTTAAATTTTGCATCAAATACAAAATTTATCTTTGACTCCCTTTTAACTGTTTACAATTTTTCTAACACCAAAAATCCAGCACCCTAACATATCTTCCATCCAAGCGGTTACAACACACCTTTGGAATCGATTGAAAAGTCATGCAACAATCACACGCAAGTCTGCGCACTAGGAAATAGATAAGACCTACTGCGTGAGAACTAACGACTTCTACCTAGCTCCGGAAAAATAGGTAGGCGGGGAGCGTTCGAACCACTGTTTGAAAATCTAGTGTGTACATCAATGAACCACAAATGGAAAGACTTATCATAAAAGACCTATACTGAAGAATAATTTGTGTAAATATGATGTGCTGTTTAATCAAGAAGACTTGGTAAATTTGTTAAATAATCTGTTAATATGATCGCAATAAAACAAAGTCAAGGTAAAAAGTTCATTGAAAAAAAACCCATTTCACTTACAATTGTCAACGCTTGTTTGATGAATTGTAGGAGGAAGAAGTTTCATATTGTTCAGCGACCTACAATGGTCATGAACATGAAAATTATAATTTTAATATTCAACAAGACATAGGAGAAACAAAGCGTCAAACATATTGCTTTGTTTTATCGAAAGAGGTAATCAAAAAATAATCTTCAAGACTTTCACCTTAACAGCCTGACACTAAATGGAGTGATATCAAAGGAGAGATGTTATTCTTTAGGCATAAGTTTACCGAAATGAGTAAAATTCCTGGAATAATTATACATAGTTTATAAGCGAACAGGAAGGAACTCTTCAAATTCCAGTTGCTGTCTATCTTACCCACTTATACTCAATACTAATTTTATCATTTTGACTATCTGAGATAGTCGCGGTTTGGTAGAGTAGTAATGACACTAAGTGATGATTGAGAATTAAAATTTCGACCATAGCGGGAATCAAACCAGCGATCACGGGAAAAACCCTTGATGATTGAAGTGAAATAAAAAATCTTACCAGTAGTTAGTCTTGCAGCTCAGTTGGTAGAGCACTGGGCCGGAAACCCAGTGGACGCTGATTCGAATCCGCAAATCTTCATTTCACCTTCAATCATCACCCAGTATCAATATGTATTTTGTCGAACACCAATTGTGAAAAGAGTTTACTTTTAACAAAGTGACTTTTCGAAGTCATCTTAGTAGGATGTTTACCAACGCTTGCATTCTAACAGTGAAGATTATTATCTCAAAAAATTGTGACATTTCGTGTTAGTTTCATTTTCGGTCAGGTTCTTCTTGCATCCTTAAAGTATCATTTCAACTCAGAATTCCTGCTTATCAACAAGTTCCCCCGTAAATCTATGAGAACAACTAAACATTTCAGGCTGACAAAATTTTATTTCACTGTCTTGTTCACTGACGTAAGTACTTGACTTTCAAGCAATGGGCGCTGCGTTCAAATCCTCCGGTCTGGGAAACCATGTAGTCTTATAAACCCCAACACAATAAATCTGGCTCATAGTATTAGTTGCACTAGTTATGACACTTGTCAAATAACTGTCAAACATATGGCACATGGAGTTAAATGAAAATAACCATTCACATCATCAGAACGAGTTACAGGTACACAGCAAGTCATTGTTCTATTCTAAAAAAGCACAAGAATAAACATGTTCAAGTTTTATTTTTAGATAGATGTTAATGTATTTAGATAGTATACAGTAACAATATTTGTCCCCAAACATAATCACAATGCAATTTCATAATAAGTAATAAACCATCATGGTTACAACAACAAATATCACTGATTGGTTGCAATAATGTCAAAACTTGGAAAACATGACATCACCTTCAGTTGTCCTAATTCAATACTTAATGAGGATCAATCAACAAACGAAGAAAAAGTTGACAAGATAAATGTTGTAAGTATAATTATGCAATTCCACGACCCAGGAAAGAGTTTATGTACTAGGTTACCATACTTTTTGTGAAAGCATGTTAAAGTTGAAGTAAATCAATCAAGCGAGATTTCAACCCTCCCTCTTATGCTTGAAAATCGACTGCTTCAGTCAACGAAATACATTTCCACCGATAAGATAGAGCTTTAAGCAGATATGAAATAGTAGAGTCACTGTTTACAAAAAAAAGGTGAAAATGAAATACCTGATTGATTTTGAGTTATTATTATTCAAAGTAACCAAACTCCATGGTATAATATCTTATGAACCTCAACTATTTATGAGTACTCCCAATCGATGTATGTACACAAGCTTACCAACTTCTTTTACATAGAATCTTAATTCTTAACTCAGTAAGTGGTGTTGTAACACTCCAAAGAATTTTAATTTACGCTGGCAATTCAACTTCATACAATTAAAAAACCTCTGGTAAGTCAGAGCACCGGAAAATTAGCTACACTTTTTATGAGGACTGATGATAATAACTAGCTATCCAAACCTCAGTAGAGTTAGATAGAACAAATGAGTAACAACTCAAACTAATGATTAAATGCCAATAGTCGTTCAACATTAACCACTTTCATGTGCTGTTTATTAACCTAATAGTAACATATATTATCCAGTGTTAGTCACATAACTTCTCTTTCATGCGCGTACTGTTCACAGTGTATGCGACACAAACTGTTCTTCTTTTGGAAGTCGAAGAATGAATGGACAGTTTAGTTGATGTTCATATGTTAATTGTAACAGACCGACTCAAATTTTATTTTTGTTAATAGTGTTGGTTTGCTATAAATTTACAACACAAGATCAATAACTGACACTACAAATTGAATAAACAATCAACTGGAAATGATTATTTCCTCAGTTAAATCTAAAATATCTTCGTGTTTTACTAGTCAGATAGACAATAGATATACTGATTAACCAATCAAATAAAAGTCAGTTGTAAATTCAACCAATAGAGAACTGGCACACACAAATTAGACACCAGATACATACATATCTATCATCTTCAAAAACAAGGTTTATAGGTAATACTACTACTGGTCATAGAAATAAAGCAACAGCAAGCTGAAATTATAATTCATGAAAAAAAGTTGAAATTAACAACAATCATAAGAAATTCCTACACATATGACTAAAAAGTCAATGTAATGAAGAATGGGTTAGTGCGAAGAAGTAATTTTGACAAGAAAGAAGAGATATAAGTCTTTAAGAAAAAAGTTAATTCGAAATTATAACAATGATAATAGTCTTTGAAGCGAACGACACAAAATTATTGATTTAGCAAACTGAGAAAAGGATTTAGCGGCACGATAAAACATTTTAGCATTTATCTACTCCATCATAAGACCATTATACATATAATGAACGAATTAGTAACCAGTGAGTCGACTTTTTATACCTACATGGTTTCATTTTACTATAGATCAATAAAACAACTACGGTTAAGTATTTAATCCAATAAAATTAACACACTGCCGTTCTAAGGCTTTTACAACTGTCTTGAAACAACAGCAGGACTTCCTAAGCTAGGAAGTAAAGGAAAAACAATAAATAAAGCAGCTTTCGATTGTTGATGATAGCTTTTTATGAAGCTTTATAATGATTCTATTTATTATTATTGTTACTATTATTACTATCGTTATTAGTACTAGTAGTAGTAGTAGTATCATTATTATTGAAAACCGGTGACGGTCTATTGCTGAATATGATAGGTTGACATGTCAGTGTAACGTTAGAGAAGAGAAGAAATATCTGGTCCCGATACTCTATATGCGGAAGAAATACTCTTGATCTTTTTCGCTTCTTCACAATTTTAATCCTCGCATCTACTCTTCTAATTTCATAGTTAATTAATTCACTATTATCATTTCCATGACAAATCTTGTTCCTTTCGTTACCTTTGCATATGTTGAGGAGATACTCAAAATGTTATACTCCATATCCAGAAATCATTTTCAACTTGTTAAATTTCATAGTTTTGAATCATAAATATTACTTTTTAGATTACTGTACAACTTTTCTTCGCATTTAGACTTGATCTATGTTCTCTCAACTAAAATCATCTTGATTACATAATCTCAGACTATTATATTCATCAAGAGACTGTTATCTACCTTCAGCGATTCCAGGTAAGACTGTAGAGCTTTAAAGCAAGATATCATCTTCCTTTTCTGAATGTTTTAAGGAATTATTTTAATTTATTTCACAAAGAAACGCTAAAAGATCAGATATCATTACTTGTGAAGTAATTCATCAAGACTGAAGTGTTCTCCCACACTTTTATTAAAAAAATTTGACGGAATTATGACTGGTCAGAACAGCACTATGAAAGCTAGGACAAACCAATGTCAGGAAGAATAAAGTATATCCCAATTGTTTGATTGTATGAAAAGATGTGTTTTTTTTGAAAATTAAGATATGCACTGGTTTGTTTTACTTATCTTATTTCACCCATTCAATTGAAGAATCAACAAAATGCATATTTTGGGTTTCTTCTGGAAAGCGATTACAAGAGTATTACCGAAAAGACTTTGGTAACCTTTCTACTCTCCACGTGAGAAATGGAATAAGAGTATAACGGGATCACCATACTAAACAATATTTCCAGTCACTGAGTAGCACAATCTTTCAGTTCTCATCAGAATCTTCCGTTTGAACAATAAACTCTGACATCATATAAGCAGAGTATGTGACGCTTGAAACGTGTTTCACCAAGTGAAGCTGTTACTGTACAATGAATTTTTACGGTTGAGATAAGGACCACTTACAAGATTTCACCATCGAATAGAATCAGCACCAAGGAAGGAAAATCAATAAAAATAAGGAATCATCGAAAGTTACACCCAGAAGTCCAAATTTTATACGTATAAAACAAACAACATAAAATTAACAAAATGGTATAAATCCTGAATCAGGAATATGCAGTAGGTGTACAAATGAAACTGCTGATAGAAGGATAAACCAGTTCGACGTTACTTTAAGTCTAATCCATACACACCAAAACAGACTAGAATGGTCAAAGGATATTGCTCAAATGTATCAGTGATGATAGGGATATTTTAATTTGTAAGGTCATGATTCGGGGGGGGGGGAGTGAACAGTCACATATTCTAACCAATTGCTTATCATCTACATCAACAAATGCCTCCAACTAAATCAAATTTCTGAACCCAATTTATGGGTATGCAAATATTCAATATAGAATAAAGACTCACTTTGAGTTTAGGGATTTTCTGCCTCTCTTCAATCGAGGTTTCTGAGAGTATTCAGAGTCTTGATGAATACGACAAGGTATGTGCCTATCGAATCTTCCCTTAGTTTTAAACTGCATTCCACACTGATGACACGTAAAGTTCTTAGCTTTGACGATTGGTTCATCCATTGATTGTTCAGGAGACTGAGATGCTGACTGTTTGTATAGAAATTCATCTAAAAAAATAAAAAGAAAAAAGAAAAAGTGTGACCAGCGAGTTAGGAGCAATACTACTGAATAAGTTGTCTCAGGAAGCAAAGAAAAATACATTTGGATCAGAATTTAAAAATAGCCATCTCTAAAAACTGACTTCAGGTAATGAAACACTAAAATGTATTGAGCACTGGGCATGTTTAGCCTTAATTTAAGATTCTTTAACAAAATTCCTCATAGAGTTCTTCCAAAATTTAATCCACACTTCAAATTTTGTGATATGCGAGTCAGCATTTTTAGATAATGTGATTAAAGACGAAGTTTATCTTTTAATAACACTGTCTTCCAATTACCCCACCACTGTTTAGGTGACAGGTTGATATGCAGTGATCAGGCCTATTTAACTCCCTTAGATTTATGATATGAAGCTTTTCACTTCTATAATGGTTTCAGATAAAGCTCTATCTATTGAACTGACACTTTGAGAAAACCCATGTCAGTTTCAAGAAATATACACTTTTAAGATGAAGCAAGAGATACCACTTAAGGAAGTCGAACCAAGCAATTACAGATTGTCTAAAATATCGAAGATAATGTTGGATAGCAAATTCATTTACTTTTTGAATAGTAGTGGGTTTGTCAGATAACCATGATACTAGTAAAATACAACTTATTAGCCATAAGCATATTTCTGTGCCAGGTTTTGTCGTGCCAAATGCATGAGGGTTGATGAAACTATGCAACTTCTCAGATTGAAATGATGTGACCAAATAACCGAAAATCAAGAGGCCAAACCAATAAAAAGACAAGCATTAATAGCACAGAGTCTGGATGAATGTTTAATAATTCAAGTTAATACATTTTATATCACAACACTAAGGCTGGTAAGAGATGAAGATAGATTATATCGTGACTAAGGTACGTCATGAATATACGTTTGCATCACAAACTGATTCTCATTCATCCCACCTAGAATTTTCAGCCACATATTTCGGTTGTGTCACACACTCGAACCAAGAAGTCTGCATTTCTCTCCTCGAACAAGACTGGTAGTCAGTGACTTTATGGATGATGCTACTCCCTGATCTATTTACTGTTAGCTTTTATCCAGATTAATAATGAGTCAACATAACATAATGAAATAGACAGTGGACAAACATTGGTAACGCTTAACCCAAGTAAATCAGTCAAGATTACGTATTACAATCAAGTGCTCAAATCCCAGGATATGATTTACAGTTAAAGCCAGTGACACAATGGCTAGAAAGCTAATGCTTAACCACTGGACGACAATATCTTATCAATGAAAAAACCTTAGGACACTCAGTTGTAACCACTAGTCAGTGAAATTCGAAGAATCACTGGAAAATTACCGTGTACTACGAAATTGTTTCATTGCACTGAACTGTTTCCATTCCCATGTAAATAGCAAGCTAAAATGGCTTGCCGTGTATAAAGTAGCCAACGTCATTGGCACATAAAGACAGTGGAGCTGTGGTTCACTGGTATCGGTAGATTACCATCAAACAATGGGTCACAGGTTCAAACACCTCTTTACCTACCGAAGTTTGAGCAGCCAGGTAGCATAATTAGCCATCATACATTAGGTTAGGCTCATCACCTACTGCACGAAAATGCATTTTGATTTCCATGTAAAATCAAACTTAAGATCTTCCTTAACTTTTAATCAGAGTAGCTTTTCGTTTGAAAAGTGTCTGTCATTGTGCGTATAAAGTGTTAAATGTATAGTATTTTAGATTACTTTGCAATAGCTTTAACTTTTCCATCGATGACATTCTTGAGATATCTCTGAATAAAGTATGTGATGGTGGTGTGGACCTACTATCCAGAGAACGGCCATTCAACCTCGAATATGCAGACGATATCATCTAACTGAGCGATAACACACAGGCTGCTCAAAGCAAACTTAACCAGTTTGCAATTAGTTTCCGTAAATATGATGTTTGCATTTCACCATCAAAGTGAAAAGTACTTTTGAAAAATTGGCACAAGCCTGTGTCTGCGCTCACTCTACGCGGTGAGCCATTGGAAGTAGTCGGAAAGTTCGTGTTAGTGCTGGAGTTGTGTGGTGAAATTTCTAACCCCATATCGAAAGCCAGAGTGAGATATACCAACCTGCGCCACCTATGGTGCCGCCCCAGCGTTAGTCTGAGCGTAAAAGGTTGGGTTCACAACGCTTCGGTACAAACAGCTCTGCTCTAACCCTGAAAAACCTGGCCTCTCCGAGTTGAGGATATGCGACGACTGTGTGTTCGATCATCCTCTTCTCCGTAGAACTGCTCGTATCTGGTGGCAACACTATGTAAGTAATTCTGAGATACGACAGTGGAGATCGTCATTCAATAAGTGAAGTCATCTGGAAACACCGGCATCGGTGGCTTGGATATGTGTTACGCAAGTCGTCCCAACATCTATACCGTTCACTGTTTGCTAGCCCTTGGAATGAATGGAAGAAGCGGAAGAGTGGTCAGTTTATGACTTGGCGCCATGGGGCGAAGGATAGTTGTATCGAGTTAGCATCTGTTGGTGTATCACTACTCCACAAGTGGGTTCCGAGAGATCATACAATCCAGCGCCTTGAGACGTTATCAGATATGGCTAACAATCGAAATCAGTGGCAGTCATGCTGTAGCTTCCTTCTATCTTCTGCTGCTGAAAAGTAATAGATGTTTTGTTTTGAATGCATTTTACTAAACTGTCTTGCTAGTCATTCAATTCTAATCGTGTTTTGCCTAATGTCTTCGAAATGTCGTTACATTATTTTGTGTGGCACGTTTCATTGTGCCCTTGGTGTACCATGTTTGCGTTTTATTGATAATAATACTCTGCAATTGAGTCACATAACAAGCCAGTAAAGCTCATCACACCGTGGTGGCAAACAGTACTATCTTATGAACTCAAACCATGCCAGAATCCTCAGTTTACGTACCATCTCGCTTTGAAAATAATCATCTAAAACATCTTATCACAACAGGAAATAACTTTTCGATGTCATTGGATGAGTTATCATTGAGTGCACGCTAGCCGCAAGTAAAACTCCACATAAGTGTAGTCCATCACACCAAATTCCTCCAGTCAGTTAACAAAACGATAAGCTAACAAGCAGTGGCCTAGTGGATAACGCTTTGGTGTTCGAAGGAATGAGTATGGGGTTCGAGTCCAACTGGGGTGCAGGTATATTCAGCTGATGAGCCCTAAATGGGACGAAATGAGAACCCTGGGTTCCACTGCTAGCCCCTCAACAAGTAAATTATAAGCAAATAATGAGTTAAACACTGGAAGTCAGAAAAAATTAGGAAAGTAACTTCATACCTGAATTGATTTTAACATTTACATTATCAAATTTCTGATTTGTAAGACGAGAGACACGATCAGGATCATCTTTGGACAATCTGCGCTGACGTTTACATGGAATTTTGTCTGGTGAAAGACTAGGTGAACGGGCTGGTGAGTCCAGCACTTCAGAAATGGATGAAGAATCTTGATACTGCTTCGAAGTCTCCAATTTATATTTTCGAGGACGACCAGCTTTACCTTTAGGCTTACCTCTTGAAGACTGAGATATAATTCGTTTCGTACTTTCACGATGAAATATAATAGGTTCACAGCTCAATCCTTTATTTAAATTTTCAGCTTTTGAATATGAACGACGTCCTCTTCTAGGTCCTAAATTAGCTCCAATGAATTCTCGAGGGTTCGGCATATTTTGTTGAGTAACTGAGCTTTAAGAACAGAAAATAGTCCAAACATTTTAATGGATTTATAACAATATTAACAAAGTATCTCGAACAATACCAAGGGAAACAAATAATATACTGAGTAGTGTTTTTGCATAATTATACATACACCTACTGTAGTCAGTTTTCAATTCGAAAAAACAGACCACTGTAGATAACCGATAAACTTGAGCAACACTGGTGAACAAAATCTCAGCGTTAAATGAATTAGTAATCAGAGACACTGTTTTTTAGTAAGAACTTCGCACACTATCAATGATGACAAATTTGTATTGTCTATAAGTAATGTGATCATTAATGATAAAGCGTTCATAACATATCACACAGAAGTACATGCTGTGTGGGTGTTCAAGTAATTAAGATGAAGTGTGAATTACCGACGTGTGCGCAATTAACTGAATATCCTAGGTCTAAGCCCTGATCTTGGATTGTGAAACGTTCGTGTTAATGAGATGTACTCAATGCACCCAACGCTGAACACTGCTTAAAAGATAACTACCATCACAAAAGTGATGAAAAATGACTTCCTAGATTTATACTTCCTACAAAATACAGAGGAGACTGGATAGAATACAACTCCGCATCTATGCTCATATCGAAAAATAGTTTGAATTACACAACAAATCCATAGGGCACTTCCAAATGGATCAATAATTTCACTTACTACTAAGAGTAATACTATTTAAACCCAAATTATCCAAGCTCGTTTTCAGTGTAACAGATGGTAACACAAGTACAACACATGATGAAGTTGAAAATCGACATAAACAATGAATTCCCTGCACAAAAACTTGTCCCTTTACGTCCAAGTAAAGCATTAAGGATAAGTGTGTTCAGTAAACTTTGGAATATAGTTAACTGTGAAATATAAACTTTACCACAATCGAGCAACTGAACTAAGATGCTCAACTGTTTGTCTGATTTCAACAGTCATGAATTTTGTGGCTTCGCTGCGAAATAGATATCCATCTCTTCATTTTATCATATTAGTTGTTCAATAGTATATGCTAAGGTCCCTTATAAAATTCCACCATAAATATCACGCTACAATGTCAAGATCTCTCGCCTGGTTAATGTTTTTAGGAATGTTGCTAGAATCAGTTTCAAGATTATGATCAGCTGACCTCTTTAGTCATCCCTTGTAGATAAATTATCCGTGGAGAACAATGACGCAACCACATACATAACAAAACATGGTTTTCAATGGTATTTAATCACCCAATAATTTCCCCGAAACATCTTGATAATTATTGACAAAGTATTCCATAACAAAATACGCTGAGGTCATTGAAAATAGAGGTAATTAATTGATACACAATAGTAGAAAAATGAACTTACATGGCCACAAGTTTTATTTATAGGTTAAAGAAAACATGATCGACTTGACAAAAATGATCCATGATATGCCTTCTTCCATCAGAATAATGTAAAAACAGTCTTGAAATTTACACACTAGTTTGTCTAATAGTTTTAGAAAAGTAGTAAGGTGTGACGTGAAAATAGTGAGTCGCTAAGGTCTTAACAATCAGTGTAAATGTTAATCAAACGCCAAGGTTCACTGGACTATGGTCAATTACCCAATTGGTTAGGCACATTGGCCAATCAGGCCCAAGTGACCTTGAACTGCTTTACTTGTGTTGGCAAATCGATCTGATTGTCTAAAGGCTCAGACAATGTAACTGTCATCTGATTGGTTTAATCTATTAGGTCTACAACTTTATGAGATAAAATGTAGCCAATCACTATAAGAATGATATTTATTTAGTCCAATCGGTTAATTCTAGCTATTAATTTACACGCATCAGTCCTGAACCCTTCATAATGGCCCGATATTAGGTTGGTGTTCCGAGCTGAATGAATTCGTGGCTAGATTATCTGTAAGCTAGTGATTTGTCATCAATATGAACTATGTGAAATTATTACTGTTTGAATCAAATGATTACATTACCTGGTTCGTGGTAGGCTATTATCGGTCTGCAAATATCTGAAATGGGAGGCTTACTGGCAGAATAATGTTTGCTCTTAATGTGTTGCTAAACATTTGGCACACTTTCTGGAAGCAAGTTAATTTTCAGCGCGAACAGCAGAAAGAAAACACTACGAAAGGTTATTATTAATGCGTTATTTGGCCATATGAAACCCAGATAGATCGGAATAATACAAGTTCTAGGGTGTAGAATGCACAAGTCTGTTTAGTCCTGTTAAATAATTCATAACTTAACATGACATATTTAGGTTATTACTGCCAGTAGTAGGGATTATTCTAGTAATCTGATGGAGAACATTCCGTTTACTTTATTGACCTTTCTGTATGTATGAATTACGAAAACACCCACCTTCACTCTTTAGCACTTTAGACTAAGCAACAACATAATTCAAATTTTAAGATGCAAGCGTTTCAGAAACAAATCTCAACAGCACGCGTAATTCTCATCTTTTAGCTGAACTGTCATTATTAGAAAAACTGTATGCTCTGTGCAGTGATCGTGCTGTCAGAAGACATATTTCATATCACGATGTTAAGTCTCTTTGTGACATCGGAAATGTGGCAGATATCCCTTATTGCGAGTCGAAAAGTGCTACTTTACAGGATCTTGTTTTCAAGGTCACAGATTATTTTGTTGTATCTTCTATTTATAGCATTTATGCCAACTATCATCTTATCAGTGTGATTATCTAAGATTTGGTTTGGCAGATTTATAAAGATCCTGGGTGATGATTGTAAATGAAATAACAATTTGGTCCGCGGTACTATTTGAACCAGCAACCACCGGGTTCCTGGCTCGGTGCTCTACCAGCTGAGCTAAGAGACCCGATTACCGACCAAATTTTTATTTAACTTCAGTCACTATCATTACTATCATTTTACCCATATTTATGAAATGTATATTGGCTGCAAGTGCATCACTTAGCGCTTATGTAAGATCGATAGTGACCTGTGTCCATTGATTTAAATATTTGACTATTGAGAGGTTGATTAGAGATCCAGATTACACTCCTGAGGCCTTCGCCTTCTCAAACGTACATTATAAAGGTTTCGCTCAAACGTATTTTATCATATGTCGTACAAATGATTACTGACATAGTGTCATCTATTTTTTTCATGAAACATACATTAACCACCATTGTGTTTTTTTAACCAAGCTCCATGTAATCAAAACCACTCCAACCCAAGTTTTCCAGGTTATGTTAAGTAAATGATATTAATCGAGTGTCTGCTGTAAACTTCAGGTCTTTTCAGCTACAATTTTCTTATCAAAAATATTCGAAGACACACACTGTTGCTAAATATAACATAGTCTACTATTTGAACAACTCTATACTTTCTATTTTCAGAAATTAGATTCTATATTTAATCCTGTGTTATGATGAAAAGGAATGAAAAACAAGGTATTTTTGAATTCGAGGCTTGAATCAGATTAATTTTCACTCAGTTTAGTAGATTTCGACACCAAGAATAAAGTTTTTCGAAAATATCATCATGAAGTTAAACTTTCTCTCCTTTCTGATGTGTAGGCTGCATAGTTTCTTAGTTCTGCTTCTGTAGATACACATGTTACCTAAGAACAAGTTTTGTGTTAGGTGACTTTTTCCCTGTAGCAGTATTTAGTGATGTCTCAACCCCTAGAAAATCTATCCTTGTCCTTACTTCTAAGATTTGGGAGCGCGTCAGGATATGGATACACTGAATGGCAGTGAAACATTTCCAGTCAGTTGTCTCTCGTCTATCATTTCACATCTGACTGCTAACTGTGAAATGAGGCTCCTCTCAAATGCAACGATAGTCTCATCCCACTTGAATAAAAATTTAATGAGTTTTGATTAGAAGTATCATTCCCCTTGATTTGTAGATGAGTGAATGCAATATTTACTGTCGGATTACATTACTGTTCCAGAAATTTTCTAAGAACGAAGTGATTTTAGAAACCTTCTCTTGGGAATCACCGAATAGAAGTGAATTTGCCAACCGAATATTTTAAGGTACTCAACTTCAATGCAATCATCCAGTTTTCCTCCGTTTAACTGATTCGGTTACGATTAGTTTAGTAAGTCGAGAATTAAAGTTACCAGACTACAAAAATATTTCGAAAAACTGCTCTGTCTAATTCTTAGCACTTAATCATATTTTCCTTTCCGCTTATCGTGTTATACAACTTAACGTTTATTGATTCCATACACGAGCCTGATTCGAATATTAACCAATGATTACTTAGTTAATTAGCTGTTACATTCAGCCAATCAGAATGCTTGGAACTTTGACATGTAAATGGGTGGATTTTAAAAATTTGCAACTTTAGAGACAGCTTTGTTTCTGTTCTCGTACATTCATTTTGGGCAGACGTATAAGATCGATTGTAGCAAAATATATTTCAACTTAAAACAGTTTTAGAATGGGAGACAGCACTCCTTTAATTCATAATCCTGTAAGGTTCGGTTTTATCAGTTTTTTATGTTAGAATATTTAGGTCACGTTTAAAAGCTCTAAGGAAATTTGAAACGCCTGCAAGGATGAATGACCATTTGAAACAAGTTGAATAACTATTAACTATAAAGGACTATTTAGAAAATTAATCTTTATATTCGACCGACAACAGTTTGGGGGATTAGCAGTATGCCCTGGGTTCGAGTCCTGAAAAAGAAACTGACATGGATCCAGCTACATTCGTCTAAAGAATTCCAAACAAAATAAAGTGCTTGTGCAGTATCTGCCTTCAGCCACCTTTACGTGGTAACTATCTAAGCTTTACAGCAAACTAAGTGCATGTAACGACCACCTGTTGATACGTTTTCGTCTAACTTGTAGGTAGGTGGTGCACAGAGCAGTGTGAGTTTAATGGTGGCGACGAGAATCCGAAAGGGAAAAGAGAAAGATGAAAGGTTGAGCCGGTGAATCACTAAGTACTCAGGATGTACTTACTAGCATCCACTGGTTTGGTGAACAGTAAATTTTTGATTAACTTCGATTTAAACTTACTTTGAAATGTAAAGTGTAAATGCTAAGGCTCTCAGTTAGAAGAATTACCACTGAACTACTTAGACTATGAATCCTGAATTATATTTAAAAAAGCTAATAATAACTCTATTCATAAAATCATCGTGATTCAGTGATTCAGTACCCGAGTCAGGTATGTTACTGTTGGGTGTAACCAATAACTCCGGTCTCTACGGTTCTGCGAATTTTCTTTATAATTTGAAATATATTTTTACACATTAGTGCCGACAGGTATGATGATCCTTTTACCATTTAAAATTGAATACAGTACCTACCAATGCTAAATTACATCTTATTGCTATTAGATCAGACCTAGTCGGTAAAATTCTCATCAGAATTCGGAAGAAAAGAGGATAAACAACTTTCCTCGCCATTGATTAGTGAGTTGGTTGTTCCCTTAAGTCTGTCACTTAGTTTCTGATAAATACTGATTACAGTTCGAAAATTTAAAGATCTGAAACTGATAAATTTGAAGATCATTTTCAGTATTTCAGGTTTTCATCTCTTGCCACTCAATATACTAAAGAGATGAAACAACAAGCGGTTGGCAGAATATGTGTTATTGCTCAAATTTTTAAAGTTGTGCAGTACTATCAATCAATCGATCATGAGCAGGAGAGACGAAACATTCATATATGTCAATAGAATCAATAAATAGGGTCTATAATTCAAGTCCTACCTTCGTGCTTCGTTACAAATAGATCTGAATGTTTTCCAACATTCATCAGTATGCCCGTCAAATCTTCATAATAACCTATGCACTCAAGTACTTTACGAAAAGGTAGGTTGAAGTTACACAAAGTATACATCCGTCAAAAATCAGTAACATCATTGCTAAAAAGCGTCAGCTTATATATATATATATATATATATATATATATATATATATATATATATATATCAAAGGCATTCATAGACCCCCGAACATCCAAAATTAAGTTCACTTATCTTACTGGCACGGTTGATTAGTTGATGGTTGTGATTCAGTTAGTACTGAAGAGTAAGTAGCATAAGTTCATAAGTCAGTGTAACCTAGCAACAAACACTGCGATAAATACTTCAATGCTGAGATGTCATCATCTTTGTAAAAAGCTTTAAAATGTGAAAAGTCTTATGAAATTGTTAGTGTTTTCCTCTGGTTCATATCAGAAGTGTAAGTTTCTCATATGGGCTGACTACAAGCAAAGACTTTTATGGCGAATTGAGTAACTGTTTCTGATGAATACACAACCATACCACTGGATAATGGTTGATCACTATAGTATTCAGTGGTTGAATTGCATGTAGCATGCCACGAAGAAATAAGAAAGTTTCAGCTTCAGTTGCTATGCAAAATTCAAGATGTGCCTTGTTTCATAGTTTCCAAACTGCAATGAGATAACAATTCGACGTCTCCAGATTTTCAGTATGGATGACAAACCTAAGCTTTTCATATGCAGTATGATAATGTTAGACTTGGGCTATAACAGCAATCTTTGGGTTGCCAAATACCTGAGGTAGTACAATTCAACTTTTATTCCTTGAGTCTTGCATTCGTTAGCTATATGAACTATAATTTTCAAATTTGGTTAGAAAGCCAAATTCATATATCAACTCTGTGTATAAAGTCTTTCTTGATACTGTGGGTGTCTCATATAGCTT